CCCCAAAACCCCAAAACCCCAAAACCCCAAAACCCCATATGATGAGATTTGGAGATGAGTGAAAGATATGAGAAATAAAATTAGTGGTTAGTTAATTTCCATTCACGCTAAACATGATGAGTATAGTATTATAAGGTATAAATAAGATTTCTCCTCCTATTATTAAATAATTGAAAAGATAGAAAACCCATGTTATCGAAACATTTCACAGAGCTTAAAAGACTCGCTATAAACTAAACTCACACCTCAAAGTTACTCTCTACATTCTAGAATGTTAAACTAACCAATACTCAACTGAGACCATTTGCCAAGAATGTAAACAGTACTCTCCACCATAAGAACAAGCTGCAAGTATCCCAGCATATTCTAAGCAAGAATCTCAGCTATCTTCAGAACAATAAGATTTCCCAAGCTCTTAAGCCATCAGACAACTTTCCTTAAAGACATCTTGGTAACGACAAAAAGAATACTCAAGAGATCTTAAACACATTAGGTGTATAAACAATTGAAGAACTGATGGATCAAGTTGTTCCCTCAAACATTAGATTAAAGAGCGGATCAGCATTCATTCATAATGGGAAAGAGCTACATGGTATTGAGTCAGAGACAATGCTTCTTGCAAATCTAAGAGATCTCGCCAACACTAACAAAGTCTTCAGATCATTCCAAGGTACCGGCTACTATCCAACTAACTTGCCTAGTGTTATTAGAAGAAACGTGCTCGAAAATCCAAACTGGTACACTCCATATACCCCATATTAGGCTGAGATCGCTCAAGGTAGACTTGAGTCTCTCCTCAATTACTAAACTATGATTACTGAGCTTACTAAACTCGATGTCTCGAATGCTTCTCTCCTCGATGAAGCCACTTCAGCTGCTGAGGCTATGTTCATGGCATACAATGTACATGATGGAAAAAGAAGAAAGTTCTTCGTTTCAAGCAGTATGTTCCCACAAAACATAGATGTGGTAAAGACCAAGGCTTTTGGACTAAATATTGAGTTAGTTATTGATGAGCCAGCTAATTTCGATTGGAGCAAGGCTAATGAGTTCTGCGGATTCATGCTACAGAACCCAGACAATCTAGGAAATGTCTCCAACATTTCAGAATTAACCCAAAAACTTAGAGATAACAAAATTGTTTCAGTGGTTATTGCTGATATTTTATCATTGGCTGTAATCAAGCCACCAGGTGAAATGGGAGTGGATATTGCAGTCGGTTCAGTACAAAGATTCGGAGTGCCAATGGCATTTGGTGGTCCTCATCCAGGTTACATGGCTTGCAGAGATGAGTTCAAGAGAAAAATGCCAGGTCGTCTTATTGGTGTATCTAAGGATTCCCATGGAGATAAGGCCTATAGAATGGCACTTTAAACCAGAGAACAACACATTAGAAGAGACAAGGCTACCTCAAATATTTGCACTGCCTAAGCTCTTCTTGCTAATATCTCAGCATTCTTTGGTCAATGGTACGGACCTGAAGGATTGAAGAAGTAAGCTGAAAGAGTTCAATATTTCTCTGAAATTCTTATTGATGAACTTTCCAGCCTTGGATATACTATAGTTACTGATAAAAACAATCACTTCGACACAGTTACCATCGATGCCAAGAAGTCTGGTGTCTCTTCATCAGATGCAGTTCTCCATGAATTCGAAAAATACGGAATAAACCTAAGAAAGATCGATGATAGCCTGGTGAGTTTAGCATTCAATGAGACCACTTCTCTTATAGACTTAGATGAAGTTATTGAAATCTTTGCAGATCTTAAGGGAAATCAAACAACTTAAGGATTCCTCACTCAGGAATTCTATGAGAAGAGGCAATACAGAGGTCCATCAGCCAACTTAAAAAGAAAGTCAGCATTCATGACTCAACCTCAATTCAATGAAATCACCAGTGAAACTCAGATGATGAGGTATATTCAGAGATTAGCTGATAAGGATATCGGATTAACCAATTCAATGATTGCTCTAGGATCCTGCACACTTAAACTAAACTCTGCTATTTCTATGATTCCTATCACTTGGGCTGGATTTGCTGGAATTCATCCATTTGCACCAAAAGATCAGGTCAAGGGCTACATGAAACTAATTAAGGAATTAGAAGATGATTTAGTCGCCATAACCTAATACGATGCAATCTCACTTCAACCAAACTCTGGAGCCAACGGAGAATATGCAGGATTAATGGCTATTAAGAAATATCATGAAAGCAGAGGGGATCTCCAAAGAGATATTTGCCTTATTCCTGTTTCAGCTCATGGCACCAACCCAGCCTCAGCTGCTCTTTGTAACATGAAAATCGTTGTTGTAAAGTGTGATGCCAATGGTAACATTGATGTCCAAGATCTTAAACAAAAAGCTGAAGAGCATAAGGACAAATTGGCTGCATTCATGATTACATATCCATCCACTCATGGTGTTTTCGAAGCTGCCGTCATTGAAATGTGCGATATTATCCATAAAAACGGAGGGCAAGTCTATATGGATGGTGCTAACTTCAATGCCTAAATGGGATTGACTTCCCCAGGATTTGTTGGAGCCGATGTTGGCCACTTGAACTTGCACAAGACTTTCTCAATTCCCCATGGTGGTGGTGGTCCAGGTGTTGGCCCAATTGGAGTTAAAAAGCACTTAGAACCATTCATGCCAGGACATCCTCTTATCCCAGTCAATGGAAGAAACTCCCTTGCAGTCGCAGCAGCTCCATATGGAAGTGCTGGTATTCTCCCAATTCCTTATGCCTATATAAAAATGATGGGTAAGCAAGGTCTTCTTGACTCTTCAAGACATGCTATTATGAGTGCTAACTATATAGCTAAACAACTTGAGGGTGATTACAAGATTTTATATACTGGTTAAAACGGTAGAGTTGCTCATGAGTTTATTCTTGATATGAGAGACTTTAAGAAAACTTCTGATGTCACTGAGACTGATATCGCAAAGAGACTTATGGATTATGGATTCCATGCCCCAACAGTTTCATTCCCAGTTCCAGGCAGTCTCATGATTGAGCCTACTGAGTCTGAGGATAAAGTAGAAATGGACAGATTCATTGATGCAATGAGAAGGATTAGACAAGAAATTAGAGAAATCGAAGAGGGAAAAGCTGATAGAGTCGATAACGTTATTAAGAATTCTCCACACACCCTTAAACACTTAATCTGCCACGATTGGACTCACAGCTATTCAAGAGAAAAAGCTGCCTATCCAGCACCATGGCTTCACACCAGAGGTAAAGTCTATCCAGCAGTTGGAAGAATCGATAATGTCCATGGAGACAGAAACCTCATCTGTACATGCCCACCAGTCACCGACTTCCTTTGATCATGAATAAGTAAATCCCAAGGTATTAATCTCTAATTATTTAAACTTTTGATTATCAAAATTTACACTCTATTATTACCTCAAGGGGTTTTGGGGTTTTGGGGTTTTGGGGAGATCGGAAGAGCACACGTCTG